CTTATGAACAGATTTACACATCCCTAATTATTAGGAAAATGAAATTTAAAGCAGCAGTGAGATGACACCATGAATTTGTTGAAAAGGCTAAAACTATAGTGAGAATGTAGATGAACTCAGGCTCTGTTGATGGGAATGTAAAATACAATGAACTCCTGAAATTCACAGGGGTTACATTCCTAGAGCACGTCGAATTGTGAAAAACCGCACATTTCAGCTGTGGTCAGAAAAATGCCTACATATGCCTATTTTTATAGTTTAAATCCCAAATATGCTGTCTCCTGCAGTTACAGAATTTAATTTATAAAATACTGTATTAATAAAGCCTTAGAAGGTGCAGGGCATTTTGGCAGCATCGTAGGGATCTTAGGGCTTTAATAAGAACAAAACCGAGAACGTTTGAGATAGCTACAAGTCAGTACAGCAACCTGTTATGATATGGGAATGCTGGTCCATCTGCAGGAGATGGGTTACAGGGCAGCAGCCAGTCAACAGCAAGGAGAACTGAATAATGGTCTCAGATTGGCTACTTGCAGACCTCCTGCTAAAAAACCAGTTGTGGAGGATATTTGTAGTTTCCACAAAATTGCGGGGGCTTCTGTGAACAATTATTAGTTAGGTTCTAAGGAAAAATCTGCGAACAACTGAGGCTTTGAACTCTGAACTGTGATTTCGCGGGGGTATACTGTACAACTGTTTTGGAAAATATGTTGGCAGTTTCTTAAAATGTTACATACACACCTACCACATTACCTAGCTACTCCTTGCCCACATACCTACCCAAAAGAAATGAAAGCATAGTAGGTCCATTACAGAGACTTTCGCGTGAGTGTTGACGACAGCCTTATTTGTAGCAGCCACAAATTGTGAACAATCTTGATGCCTGTTTTCAGGTGGGTGCAACTCACTAACAGTTCAGTCTGATCCATGTTATGGACATACAGATCTCAGGGTTGAAAAATCTCAAAGTAATTGTGGTTGGTGACGGAAGCCGGACAAAAACAAGTGTGTAAACCATACCACCCATTTTATAGAATGTTTTAGAAAATGTGTTTTCTAAAAAGCAGAGTCAGTGGCTGACTAGGGGTGGGTGAGGTGGGGAGTGGGAGGAGTTGGGGATTCTAGAAGGGTGCGAGGACCCTCAGGAGGGGTGGCCATGTCCATTAACCTCATGGTGGTGATGGTGTTGCCGGTGCATTCCTATGCTAACTCTTATACTTTATGTGTTAGTCTGTTTTACATTGTTCTAACAAAATACCTCGGACTGCTATGTTAGAAAGAAAAGAGCTCTTCAGCTCAAGTTCTGGGGATCCACAGCCATGGTTCCCCCGCATGATGACACAAGAGAAAGGGAAAGTGAACCAGCCACATGTGGAAGGGGCCTTGTGCACGGGGTGTTTCCTATAGCAACCTGATCTTAGGGGACTCACCGCAAGAGTGAGGATATGCTCCCATGACAAGGCATTTGTCCCTTCACAAGGGCAGCACCACCCTCACAGGCTCATCTGCCAGGCCCTGCTTCTTAACGGTTGCATCACCTAAACATTGCCACACTGGAAACCAAGCTTCCAGCACCTGAGCCTTCATGGAGGACACATTGGAACCATATGTAAGCCATCACACTTTATGCATAGCTTATTTCATGTGAATTATAGTTCAGTGAAGCTGTTAAATTAATATTTTTAGTTTTTGTATACATATATTTTCTTTATTTTGCACTGACAATTGGAAATTAATTCTTTCTGTATATTTTGTTTTTTTGATACAGAGTCTCACTGTGTAGTTCAGGCTGGCCTTGAACTCTTGTCAGTCCTCCTGCCTCAGCCTCCCAAGTGCTGGGATTACAGGTGTGCACCACTACACCTGGCTTTGGAAATTAATTCTAAGGCTGTTCCCATAGTGTTTGGCCTGTGAACTTTTTCATGGAGAGTGTTGCCTTGTTAACATTTAGCTATATAATATAGTGCTGTTCATTCATGCAACTTTGTTATTGATTCCTCAGCACTAAAATAGACATTGGGAGATCATAAGTGAGGGAGAGAAGTATGTATATGTGTTGTGGAACTTAGATTTAGAGATACCTAATGATAAGGTTGCAGACAAAGGATTGGGTAGTGATTTAATGTGTCCAGTATAATACCTGCATTATTAGGTATATTTCACAAATTGTAGATCATAGTTTTTACAGTTTTCTGAAAGGATTGTATGATATTTAATTGGAATAAAACTATCTCATGTACATTATAATCTTTGACATGATGACTTTTATTTTTTATAACATAAATGTCTTAAAACTGGCATATGTTTTCCCCATGCCTAAACAAAGCAACATATTAACAGTCCCTAGCCTCTTGAAGAGTAATCTTTTTTTTTTTTTTGGTATCGGGGATTGAAACTTGGGACCTTACGCTTGCAAGGCAGGCGCCAGAACCACTGAACTAAATTCCTGGCCCCTAGTAATCATTTTTGTATGTAATAATTCACATAATACTAATTACTGTCTTGGTTCATGTATGTGGTATAACTTACTTGGAAACCCTAAAGAAGTGAAAATACTTTTGAGCACCCAAAATGGAAGCCACAGACTCTGCCCTCAAGTTTATAAACTGGACCTGGAGCGCACAGCTTTGACCTAGGCCTCTTTAGTCTCACTTTGGATACATTGCTTACAAAGCTGGGTCTGTGGGAACCACAGCCTGCTGGAAGGAGGGGAAGATTGTGGACAGACACTTGCAGATTGCTAATAAAAAAAATTAGGAGTCAATATACCTGGCAAAGAGGAAGGTGAAAGGAAAAGCTAGGAAATGAGCTTGGGGATTCCAAAAGAAAGGAGCTTGATATGGGAGCTAATAGCACTGTATTCTAGTAGCCTCTGCGGAGAAACTGCTAATGAAAACAGAAAACCATTAAAGGCTTATTTTGTGACAGGCACTCTTCCAGTTATTGTACACATATTATTTTGTTTAATGCTAAACAACACCTGTAGACATGTCATAAGCTTCATTTATAGACAGTGAATGTGTGACTTAACAAGGTCCCTGTGTATATTTAACCATCACTCTGTGTGCCCTTCCTAGTACTGGAACAATAAAATTATTGAATGTAATTACAATCCCTATGAACAAAGACATGGATGGAAGTGTTAAGCTTTTTGTGTTTTTAAGGGCCAAAAAGTATAAAAGTATTTTAGAACAGTTTTTACTTTAACAAGTTCAAATTAGTTTTGCACTAAGCGATGTTAAGATTATTGTTTCCTAAAAAGTTTGTAAAATATTTTCTTTTTTGCAAAGATAAATGCATATTGCAAATTTATTACATCATCAAGATTTTTGGCCAAGAAACTAAATTGATTGTATTAATTGCATTACTTTCTCTGCTAAAAGAAGCAGATCTTTCTCTATAACCTGTGTGAATCCTAAATTGATTGTTTATGCCCCAGCGATTCCTTGTACCCTCACTATCCCAAAGGACTGAGTGTAATCCCACTGTAAAGAGAAACTACTGTAAAACTTGTGCATGAGTTTGTAAATGAAGTACTACTTGGGGACAGGTGCTTTGGCTCTCTTTGTTCACTGAAAGCACTGGTGCTGACCCCACCTCCTAGCACATGTATTGTGGGCAAAGGTGCTGTTTGCTCCACCTTCATCTCCAGTGCTGTGAACACTGCCTGTCAGTAAAAGTGTGGGAAGAACATTGGTTGTCTGTTTTTAAAGACATTGAATTAATGTTGCATGCAGTGCACTGAATTTGTGTTTAGCATAGTTTTTATGTTTGTCCCTTGATTTTATTAACTTTTATAGAGATTATAGCTGTCACTTTGAAACTCGAAGTCTTACCTGTAAAAAGTGGGCGATATTGGGTCAAACACTCTGCCAGTGACACACTTGAATGTCTTTTTCTATTTCTGCTCTTATATTAGTGGCCATTTATTGTGGCTTTAGGCTTTTTTTTTTTGTACCAACGATCGAACTTGGGTCCTTGCTCTTGTGTAGCAGGCAGTGAAACCACTGAGCTAAATCCCTGGCCCTTATTGTGGCTTTATAAAGGAATGTTGGATGTGGCAGAGAGAGAAACGGCTGTGTGAGCTTGTTTGCCTCTGTTCCTTTTTCCTTTCTGCTTGGAATTGTTTACTAGAACCTTCTGTGATGTAGTGGTTTACAAGATCTCAGGCATAGAGCTGGCTCTGCCCTTGCAGTTTCTGTCGCCTTGGTCAGTGGCACAGCAGCCTCTGCTGCCTGCCGTCAGGGAGCAGTACCACCAGACTCGGGGACTGTGAGGAGCAAATGAGTTTAGGGGAGACCTGCAGATCGCTCAGAGTGGTGCTTGGCACATAAGGCTCAGTAAATGCTAGTTAATATTTTTAGGGTTTTTATGAGACTTAAATGGGATTATGCATATGAAATATGGAGCAGAGTGTCAGGCAATTAGTAAGTACTCAGTAAAGGCTAGTGACTCTGATTTAAATATTCTGGTGCCTTTGTGTCTAAAGAGCCATGTCTTTGGGTCTCTGCACATGTCATCTCCTTAGTTTATTTTAGGGCATGAAGAAAAACTCACTGATTTCGGTACTGGCTTTTCCTGATAGCCACAAATTATGATTAGAAAAGTTAAATAATTATTTTGATTGCTAAGTTATAATAATAATAACCAATTATCATTTCAAGTTTATGTTTACTTTTACTGTCAAAAAGTAAAATCTTGGAAGGGGAAATAAAAAGAATTAAGATATGTAAGTGTACCAACTCCCCATGATGCATATAATCATTGTACTGCAAACATGTACCAAAAATTTTTTTAAAAAGTATAGGTCTTGCCGGGGATTTAGCTCAGTGGTTTTGCCACCTGCTGTGCAAGCGTAAGGACCCGAGTTCGATCCCCAGTACCAAAAAAAAAAAAAAAAAAAGAAAAGTATAGGTCTTGATAAACACAATTTAGTGAACTTTGAAAAGACCTGTCGGTATTTAACCTGATTTTCTTCTTTCTTGTTATCTTCTTTATAGGTTTGTGGAATCTTGCTTCTCTCTTTTCCAACCTTTGTTTATTTGTGTTGATGCCTTTTGCCTTTTTCTTTCTGGAATCTGAAGGTTTTGCTGGCCTGAAAAAAGTAAGTAAATTGAGTTTTGGAGTTAAAATTGTTATATGAAGAAGTAAATGCCATTCATATTGAATTGGAAGAAGTAGGCTCAACTAACCATTTGAATGGAATAGAAGAAATTTAATTAACAAATAATAACATATTGTTGATAATGTGAATAACATTGCATGTTGGATTATTTTGTATGTTCACGGGAGGAAGGAAGTCATCTTTTAAACCCAAGAGTACCTTTTTTTTTTCTTGATGGTATTGGGAGTTGAACCCAGGGCCTTTGCACTGAGCTGTGTCCCAGCCCCTTTTTCATATTTTACTTTAAGCAGGGTCTCACTAAGTCACTCAGTTGCCCAGGCTGGGCCTGAACTTGCTATCTTCCTGCCTCAGTCTCCCACAGTGCTGGGATTATGGACACAGGCCACCATGACCAACGCCCATGAGTACTTTTATGGTATGCTTCAGCCTAATATAGTCTTTTGTGTAAAGGATAAACCTGATACAATAGTTATTATTTTTTCTTGGGGTATCTCATTTATTTGAAAGTATAATATGAAATTCTGAAAACCTTAAAATATATCTTGATATAAAAATTATTTCATTTTTAATATTTGCAAGATATTAACACATATAACCACATAGCTCTGTTAGCTAGTCAGGATCCTGAGAGTGGATGATCTTGGGCATTGTGGAGGGTTTAGAAGTGGGTAGAGTGGAAGACTTCAAGGAGCATTTTAAAGACTGATTGAGGCTTTGTACAAGAGGCAAGGAGTTAATTCTAAACACAGCATTTTAAAGCAAAACAAAGCTCTGTTTATATTCTATGCAGCTCTTTGCCATAAAGTTTTGGAATATAATGCAAAGATTTAAGTAGTTAATAAGTTTTGAGTAACTTAAATTTGAAGAAATGAGTCTAGTGTTACACTGAGGTACACTACGCCTTCCTAATTCTTTGATTCATGTTGTGATGTATGAAGTGAATATCTTATTATTGAATAATACTGTAATGCCAATTGAAATTTGACATAAGTTGTAAACTGCATGAATTATTATTTGCATTTAATATAACTATGTGTTTGGCACTTTGACAGCTCTTCTGATTGTAAACCTCAAATGTCACACATTTTTAAACTCATGTCTTGAAGGAGGCAGTGAAAGAATCTCTGAAAGGAGATGCTTAAAGTGTTGCTTCTGCAGACTCATCTTGAGGTTTTTGGCTGGGATTGCAGGTGCCACCATGACCAGGTTATCCTGACGTATTAAGATTAAATTGAAATTATGTAACATGAAGAAAGAATTGTATAGTTTCCATTTAGAAAGCTGTTTCAGCTGGGCATGGTGGCACATGCTTGTAATCTCAGCTCCGAGGGTGGCTGAGGCAGGAGGACCACAAGTTTGAGGCCAGCTTGGGTCACTTAGTAAGACCTTATCTCAACAAAACAAAACAAAACAAAACAAAACAGTACTGGGGATGTAGCTCAGTGGAAGAGCCCTTGGCTACCAGGCACGAGGCCATTGGTTCAATCCTTCAGTCCCGCTGTGGCAAAAGAAAAAAAAAGCCCGTGTTACTGATTATAGTTTCTTGAATACATTATTCATTAAATGAAGTATTCTTGCTGAAGGGATTTAGTTCTGAGATCCAAAGGTATTTAATAGTGGGCCGGGGATTTAGCAAGCACAGGGACCCGAGTTCAATCTCCGGTACCAAAACCAAAACAAAAACAAAGGTGTTAAATAGTGTCAGACTGTCTCAGGACCATGTGTGTAAAATAGTAGAACTAGAACCAAAATGCAGGGTAGCTCCTTCACCTGTCACCACTCTGAGAGCACGAGTGGAGGCAGCAAGGAAGGTGAGTGGCCCAGTAGTGGGTGTGGGCAGAGAAGACAGGAGGACAGTAGGGTGCTGCAGAGGAAAGCAGCAGGGGCTCTTCTGGCACCCAGAGGACAGAAGACCTCTGGAGAATGGACTGTAAAATACTCAGCACGAAAGGTAGACGAGAAAGAATGAAAGCCAGAAGCAGAAGCAAGGAGGCCACTGGGGATGGTGGCTTCTGTAGAGTTTTGCAGCCACAGCTTTTGAGGGATATTCATTCATTCAATAGGGATTTACTAAGTAATCTTAAATACTAGCCATTTGTCATTACATGAGTTTGCTGGGGACATAGATGAAGGGACAGGACTTCTGCCTTCAAGTAACTGATATGGGAGGAAACGATAGGTGCAAAACAACAGTGCAGAGTGATGAACGATTATATAATGGGGGAGGTGAGGAAAACAGCGGAGGAAATGGCTGTCCTGATCTGCCTGGGCACTCGGGGCAGGCTGTGCAGGAGGAGGCCAGCCTGGATTGAGCTGGGACTTGCAGGGTTGCAGGGTTCGCGAGAGTGTGGCATTTGAGACTTGAGCCAGGGCTCAGAGTTTGGATCCAGTTGAGGGACTGGCCAGGACACTGCTAGGGTGGTGGAGCAGTGAGGGTTCCCAGGTAGCCTTCAGCCTCAGGTCCCAGAGCCCTCTTTCCTCTGCTAGGTGATTTAGGTTTTATGCTGCAGACAACATGGGGCTGGCAAAAGATTTTCTGAAAAGGATTTTCACATCTACTCTTTCATTTAAGCGTAGAGATAAGCCCACATTTTAGAGCTTCTTTATATGTCCCATAAGGAAAAGAGTGCCAAAGAGTGCTTGTTTCACAGTGCCAAGCACTGTGTCTTGCCAGCCAGCCAGTCATGCACCCAGCTCTGCTAAACAGAATGTGGTGGCACGTGTCACTAAAACTGCCAAGTGATGTTTGCTGAGACATGTGCAGTTCCTCCTCTCCCTAACACTGCCTCTTGTGTACTGTTGCCAAAGGCAAAAAGCAGCTCGGTGCAAATATGTGTTCATCTTTGAAAGTTTGGTGTCACAAGATATTTGCCTAATTTATGCTTGTTATGAAGATCTTGCACAATCCTTCACCTCTGCTCTTCTTGTGAACTAATCAGCCAGGCAAAGGACTTGGTTACCTCTGGTGAAGCAGGATTAGCAAGTCTCTAGGATTTAAAGAATATGACAAAAAACCTAGTGACATGTCACTGTAGCTCCTCATAGACTGAAGGTCAAAGGGAGAACCAGCTGAGCAGGGACCCCAGAGGTAGTTGGAGATAATTTACATCTACACTTATACAGTTCTTCCTCTAATTTTTTTTAACTTCTAGTCTTTCCATGCACAATTAAAAGCATATTATTTTCTAAGCACGTCTTTGACCATGTCAGGCCCTCAAAATCCTTCAAGGGTGATCAGGGCCTTTCATGAACTCAGATAGGACTGTGGTGTGGGATGCTTATACAACATAATTGCCATTATTAAACCAGGCAATCTCTAGATATAGCACAGCGTTTAACAAGAGGACACTGAGGCAGAGCCCAGGCTGGCTGCCACTGATTTGACTGGGAAGTTAGGGAGTGAATAGGTGCTATAGAAAGCAATGTATGGTCTTATATTTTAATGCTAGAAAAGGAGGGAGAGTGATGGAGTTGTAGCTTGAAGGCCGAGGAGGAGACTAACTGTAAAGTAGGACTAGGCTGTTGGCACGCTGAGGAGGAGGTTCCAGGGAGGAGAGGCTCAGTGTACATAGGTACAAAAATTGGTCTTCTTAATTGAACGGCCAGGCAATTTGCTTCGTCTAAACCTCAGATTTTCTTTTCTAAAATGGCTATAGTAATGATATTCACCTTTTTTGTATTATTTTGATGATTTAATGAGTTGATATCATTCATGTAAACCACATATCCCTGAACTTTAGTAAACGTTAGCTGTTATTAAGCTGTCATTATCCTCATGGTAGTTTGTAAATGCATTTGACTACTTTTTTCTTATTACTTACTAATGTTGTTTGTGATATTAATGTTATATTGGATTCAGAAAGCACCCAGATATAGTACAACTAGCTCTTAACTATTCACATTTTATTATCTCAGTCAGTTTTAAAATTCCAAATCACTTTCACACTTGAAATGGCATGTACTAAAGCAGAACAAAATTGTTTAGCATTAAAGGTAACAAACTTTGAAAAAAATCTTCTTGAAGATAAGGCTCACTCTAGACCTTAGCAGAAATGTCTTAGAATGCTTTAAACTTAATTGATGAAAGTATGTTATTTTATTTATTTTATTTTTTTTGGTACCGGGATCGAACTTGGGTCCTTGCGCTTGTGCAGCAGGCGGCGAAACCACTGAGCTAAATCCCCGGCCCTAAAGTATGTTATTTTAAAATATTTGCATTTTCAGTTTTAAAATAAGTTACCTGAGATTTGCAAGGGTTACCTTGTATGGTTAGGTCTAACCTATAAAAAATGTATTTGAATGGTTCAGTGTATCTTTGCATAAAGTAGTATCATTTGGTATTTACTTGTCAGATTCCAAATAATGTTTCTCAAGAGACGTAGTTCTCTGTACAGCATTATAGGCAGTATTGGGAGTTAACCTTGTTGCTTTATTGAAGTTAATGTTATCATTGACTGCAGTGTGTGAAGTGTTTAACAGAGTTGGCTAACAAGTATATATATTCAAGTGTGCTCTCATAAAACTGTTTGTTCATTGATTATGTTTGACACATAGTTTATAACCCACTCTGGGGAGAGGTTAGAAACATTTCCAATGGTAGATGCAGCACAGCGATCAGAGTCCTGACAAACTTGTAGTTTGGTTAAGTTAAATTTCCTTTCCCCTGTGGTAACCCTCCTGGTGCTGTTTTACTACGTCTAAGTCTGGTGTATTCCCTGGATGGCACATGGCCCACAGTACTCCTGTGGATTCCCCTGGGCAATCGATTTTAAAACAGCTCCTTGCATATTGTACTGAGATGCGGAAATTGGCCACTGGCCATGGGCGGATGCAGACCTTGAATTGAAAATCAAATTAAGTAGAATTCTCTACTTAGTTTTTAATTAAACCTCTATGTTAATTCAAACAGGACATTTTAGGCCTAGGGGGTTGACCATGTCCTTTTAAGGGCCTTAAATAACCTTTCTTCTCATTCCTTA